CGCCCTCTACCCCCACTGTCCACTCTGACTCCGAATCAAACACGGCCGTTCTGATAAAAGATCGCGAGCTTTTAAACGTGAACAAGCCCTAATAAGACGCCAGCCCTGCCGGCCAAGCGAGCCCACGCTCCTTCCTCTGAAAAGGCCCGAAGAGTTTCTGTTCGGGAGGATCGAAGAGTAAATTGAAAATTTCTCTGAAAATAAATATTCACATCTTTCTCCCACAATACATGGCTTAAAAAGACTAAGCAGTTAATCAAAACAAATTGTGATATATCGGAGTCCAATGGAAAAAACATTTGCATGTGCTCACGTTCTGTAACCTAAATATATTGCCAATCATATCATTTAGAACTAAACTCCTAAAAAATTAAAATATTCTTAAAAAACAAACAAGGGTTCAGATTTAAGAAACACACTTTGCTTTCGCTTTTGTGGGGAATTTGCTTTTCCTGGTGTCCGTGCCCTGAACTGATTCTGTTCTTTCTTGCATTTTTTCCAAGGAGCCGCTCTCTCCTTCCTACAAAGAGAGAATGTTCATTTTCAGTTTGTCAATCGTTCAAAAATTGATACTTTCAAATTTAAAAAGGTTAATTCTTTAACTCTTAGAAGTAACTGATGTTTAATTCTCCTAACAATAAGACACAAATTTACGGAAAAACTGGTTCTGCTGATAGAAAAACTTGTCTGCTAAATGAAGAGTTTTATTTTTTCCAGTATTTATTTTTTTTTTTTTGGGGGGGGGGGGGGGGGGGGGGAAGGTGGGAGATGAGCTACAGATGCTACAGGGGAGTTACCGATCAGTTCCAGACATTTGAAGGGTTATGAGATAGAGGAGAATAAATCAAAGCACGACTTAGATTGAGTATGGTGAATGAAGAGTATATGAAGTAACCACTTGAAAGAACTACAGGCGCAAATGATCTGTATGGGGAAAAATATCAGTTAAATGCTAATATGAACATTTTTTATCCAACTTTCACGGCCACTGAACAGAAATCTTGTCCCGTACCTTAATGGTTGTTGTGGTGTACAGCATTCCAGATGACGCGGAGTTTATCATACCGATACTATTGCTCTTCACACATAAAGGATGTGATTTAGGCGACACATCTGACTTTGATCTGAAACAAATTCACGGCAAGAAAATTACGAACGACAACTAACCCCACATAGCTTGTAACTTTTGCTGCTAGTTTTGAATCTAAGTAATGGAGCCTATAGAGGATATAATAGGAGACTACGACTGAAAAAGTAACAGTAATACACTCCATGCATCATACACCAATCACACAACTGGACGAGAGCGCCCGAGAAACAAACTGAGGGCAGGAAAGATGGCGGTTAAGGCTTAAAGGAGCAACGTTATTTCCAAGCATCGAAAAAAAAAAAGATTAAAACGAGAGATAAAAGGAATATTCTACAAGGATAGTTGAGGATGGGAGACGGATCAACGACACGAAATTTGAAAGTGAAGCTGTGTCCACTTACCTGTCTCTGACAAACAAAGAATGATTAGGCGAAGCTTTGTTTGACAAACTAGACACAAAGAAAGGTGCAAGTAGTATTAAAGTGCAAATTACATGTACCTGTAGATAGTTAAAAGTGCATCATCAAGAGTACATTATCATCTTTGTTAGGGTGCAGTTGTTAAAATAATAATAAAAAAATGTCTGCTACATGTAATGCGCCGATCAATTTGAAGCTTCAACATCCCCACCGGCAATCTTAAGGCATTGACTGTCGTCCATGCTCGGGGGGTGGGGAATTTGAACCTTGTGTGGGTGGGGTGGGGCAAGTCTTTCAAGTATAATACACGTGTTTTAATGGACGATTTTTAAGGTGAGGAGTCTGCTGTCGTGAGCAAATGGCTTAGAGAGACAATTTCCACATCGTAGATTGATGCTTATGAGCAACAAACCTAACAGCAACAGCAACAGCAACAATACATAACTTTGCTAAATTCTACAACATTCGTTAATCACAAAAAGAATTGTTCTGTATCGAGTGGGGCATTTGAACGCAATCTTGGCCCGGGGGCGGGACTTTGAATCCTCGAACTGATCGACGCACAAGCTGTCTGAAGGATGTTTAAATTCTTAGCGGTTGATCAATCAATCTGTTTCACATCGTGTGGCCAAACTGAAAGGATACTTAAATAATTGATTTTGAGATTTTCCTTCTCATGTAGCATAAACCATTTCTAATCTCTTTAAACTCAAATCCTTAGGCCATTTAAACAGGACCTTGTGGGTTGTAGTTTCCTTAAATGTACTGTTGTTGGTTTTTAACCTTGTCACTCCCACGATCTCATCACTAATTCTCCTTACTGTCTGCCATACATTTCTTATTGTTAGTAGGGAGATTATGGTATTGGATCAACTAATAATCTCCCAATCAATATTGTTCCTTATTCTCATCACATGTCAGTTTGATGTTTATTGAAATTGTAAGTAGAAATTCTGTCTCGGTCACCTATGGTAGTCAAAAGGTTTAATACAAAGGTGTTCACAACCATCAAGTACACCTGATGTTGTACCTGTACCTGTTGATAAGAGTTTCATCCACTGAAGATGATGATGCAGAGGCTTTTGATACAGGGAGGACATATGTAGGAAACACATAATGGATGTGGTTTGTTATTAAGAACTTTAAAATGAGCTCATAAGCCAACAGTCTTCCTTCTCTCCATTCCCAGCTCTCAGACATTAAGAAATCAGGCGATGCACCATCTGTCAAAAAAAAAATGCATTTTTTTTTAACCAATAGTCATTGAAGTGGCTTGGTATGTACATGTATTATGATGAAGGGTTGAGTAAAGATAAATTTGCACATTAAACTTTTCAACATGAGAGAAATGCAATAATGAGCCTGTAGTGCATGGTGATTGAAACAGTAGCAACTGGACCTAGGAGACACCACAACTGTAACAGTGTTAAGTTTTTTCTTTGTACCCTGCTCAAGACTATTATTTCCTAATAAAGTATCACCTAAGTCTACATGAATTGTACAATGAGATACATTTTAGTAAACATTAACAAATTTTCTACCTGCCAACAGTTTTGCAACTTGCCGAATACTTGTCCTTGTGGATTTGTTAGGTGGCACTGGTGACATCCCAGTCTGAGCAGAAGATGAGCCACACTGGGCTTCAGGTCCTGAATTAAAACCCAAACAAGAAAGAGATTATACCATGAAGCTTTAGAGATGTATCATCCTCTTCAATTAAGTTATTATCTCTTCTAGCTCATATACTTATACAATTTTGTGTAGTGTATACATGACTTGTACTGTATAATGGTACTTGAACTAAGTGGAGCACAAATTGGTCTGAAATCATATGTAAGATTTGAAATCACAAGTATGATTTCAGATCAACATTGCACAAAACAAAGTTCCATTACCACCATTACATTCATATGAAAATGCAAATTTAAAAAGAGAAAGAAAAAGTTTTGAGTTAAAAAATTGCATAATCCACCACACATTGGTGAAATTAAGTGTGGTGCAGATTAAGCGATACCTTAATTAGTCAACATGATCACAGGTTTTAAGACTAATAATAATTTCCAATGAAGACCTTGGCAGGAAAATTGCATAAAACTCACCAACATTACTTAGAGAGTCAGCTGAGGCATAGCATAAATCAGGGCTTGACATTGGACTAGGGGTGCGTATAAATGGAACTTGACTTTCAGATCCACAAGCACCAGCATCATCTTCAGGGTTAAGAGTAGTGTTTGATGTGAATGGCTCAAACTGATCAGGGGCATGGCTTGACTTTAGGTTTGCCATTAACAAGTCATTCTCAACCTTCCAGTCAGCCGCTAGTCCTTGAAGGACAAGCTTTAAGAACACAGGATTACTGCTGTCTTTAGCAACTGAAAACAAGTAAAGAAAAGCAATCATATTTTGTCGCGACATGGATTACATTACTTTACACTTTTGGTTGTGGTGTTTTTTGTTTGATTTGAAATAGTTCTGTTGTATTTACTGTTGCATTTCAGGAAACCCTTAAACTCCCAAGATCTAATAGTTAATTCTCCCCTCTAGTTGGTCCACATTTAGTCCCAAAAACTTCAATGGTGTCAAGTCAAGATAACAACTTCTACCTGATAAGTTTGTAATTTCTCATCACCTGTTAGCTGTATAATATATGGCTAATATAAGAAGAATTCACCCACTAATACATGTTAATCACTTTTGGGAGTCAGAGGGTTACTGAATCATTAACTAGGCCATTTCTAATTTGCAACTGACTCACCTCCAAAATGAGGCAAATTGCAAAACTTTTCTCCTTAAAATGAGTGTTACTTGAGCAACCTTTACAGTCATGATCCATTTTAAGAGGTTTATAATCTTACCGAGATATTTAAAGGCAACACTTGTTGCCTGCCTCACAGTGGAAGCTGGATGCATCAGGTAAAGATTTAGTGTTGAGAAATATAGAGGCCATTTGGGCAACAGATAACCTGGAGGGATATGCTGCGGATGAGAAGAATTGAAAATGTTAACTTCAACCTGATACCACATGGCAATAAAGTAGTTTAAGGAAAGCATGGCAGAGGTGAGTTGAATTTTATCCTTTAACACCCAACACTTACCTTGATCAAGAAGATACAAACTCCTAATAAGCCTTCAGCTTCGTGGGCATTGAGGAACCTAAAGTGCTGTCTTAACACTGCATGGTGGGGTAACTGGATTAAAACAAAATAATTCCACTCCTTGGTAAAACCAAACAATTACTTTAAATACTCTTGATGAAACTTGTCAATACCAGCATCCAGCAACACAAGTATAAGACAAGCAAGGGAGGCAAGTTTATAGGGAGGTTTCTATAAAAATATACCCAAAGGTCACATCCCCAATAAAACCGCAATGGCTGTAACATTGTTGATCAAGGGAGAGGTCATGACTTTTTGAGTAAACATACATTCCACACCCCAAATAAGAGGAAGAAAGACAACATAAAAATCTGCTGAAAGCAAAAGTAACCAAGAGAGCATTTGCTCAATTTTCCTAAAGAAGACTTTGTTGAGTTATTGTTGAGGTGATACAAGCAAGTTAAACATTTGTACTAGTGGATCACTTGACAATGTGATAATTTGCTTTGGGGAGTTAGTTGTATCAGGGTATGTAATGGTACAGCACATGTTAGTTGGTTCTCTAGGTTTCCAAAACATTTTAATTCACTGTGTCACTATGGATAATAAATCATATTTGCATGCGGCATGTACCTCAGTTATGCTCTCACTGATATCCTTGTTGCCTTCCTGTGTTCCATGGCACAATCTGTTGATTACTTCTTGGAATGATGATAATGCAACCTACATGTAAAATGAATGCAATATTTGGTACTTTGTTTGCAGATTTTATTCCTCTAAGCATCTTATAATTAACATTTATTGTTTCAATTTGGGAAATTTTATACTGCAAGGCAATCTATGTACAGGTGTATGTGTGCTTTAAGAAAGTGGCCCTCACCTCAAACTCACACCTTGACAATATTGCAGATATTGCTTTAGTTGTGTGTTCCCTGATGCTAAGTTGTGGATGAACAAGCAGAGAGAACAGAACAGAGTGGACAGAGGACATGATAAATTCTGGCAGTGATGTCAAAATTGTCAACCCAAACTGAAACAAAAGATAGACATACAATATTACAGTACCACAAACTCACTGACCAGTACATTTACATTATTTTCAAGATACATGTTGGGTATGTTTCAGTTATTGGAGATAGGTTCAATGTACACTTTAAGTTCTATTCTGGGCCCAGTTTTTCAAAAGATAGAGAATGTTACCCTGCAGATACATCGTTATTCAGAAACTATCCATGTAAGTGTTAACAAAATATACGGCACTATCCACCGGATAGAGCTTTATCCAGTGGACAGAATTATCCATCCTTAAAACAAATGAGGCCTTCACTGCAGAATTAAGGCTTACATGGTTATTCATACTCAAATAATTTAAAAGGCTTTTTTGTGTCTTATTTTGCAAAAGGAATTACCTTGATAAAAACAATTCATAAAAATGCATGATTTGCAGTTAACGCAAAACACAACAAAATTATTTTTACATTTAACTTGATCAGGTACAACTTGCATGGTGGGTGTTAAAGTAATTCGATGGAAAGCAAGTGACAAGGTTTAATAAATTGTTTAAGTTTCCACATTTATTATCATAAGATGCATAACACTTGCATTAGCAAATACATACAGTGAATACAGAGAAAATAAACAAGGGTCTTGATGGAAAGAAAGCTTATTCTTTGCCCCAGGACATAACAGTTAATACTTAGAGATGGACCAAAATATAACATAGCGTTATTTTAACAAGCATTTTCTTTAGACATGGATGAGGCTTCCTACATGTAGTTACTGTAGGCAATCTGGAAACAATTTGGTGACTTGCGGGTTATGATACAACCACTGACCTTCAGCATGTATCGAGGTCCTTCTGAATGCATAGACTCCTTCCCAGGTGATACAACTCCACTCCAGAGAAACTGGCACACCAAAGCAGTCATGCCTGGAAATTGACCAAGAAGCAAATATAAAACAGAGAAACACAATTACTAACCAAAAAAAAATATTATGGTCTCAAAAATAATGTAATCAGTGTATATGTGTAAAAAAAAAGCAATAATCTTCAAAACTCACACATCACTGCTCCCTCTTTGGCCTGCCAGGATGTTTCCTTTCCCAGACAAATCTACGATGGGAAAACAGGCAAATGTAATGAGAACACTACATGTATATTGGATTCAACACAAACCATTGTCAATGATCATGGACCTCTTGGTTGCAAACATGATAGCCAATGATAAAAATGACAGTTGGAATAAGCAAACTATCATCATCTATCTATTTCATCAGGGCTTTAAATATTATCTATAAAAAAATATTCTATCTTCAGCCTAGTTGAAACATTCACTCTATAGAACTCAACATCTGTTCTCCTTGCTTTCTACAGAAAATTTGCTATGATTTTAGCTTTCAGGATTTGGTGTTAACTCAAGCAGTACTTTCCTTTTAGATAAAATGTTTCTTTTTCTTCTCATAACACATCATGAACATAATGGTAGAGTGAACAGAGTGGTCACTCTTTGGTGTGAAAGGTTTCAAAGTTTTACATGTATCCATGCCCCTCCTCCTTCCCCTCCCCCCCCCCTCCCTAAATTGATCTGCATTTCACTCCTAGCTACCTTTACTAAACTTTGAAAGAATTCTTCCACTTGTAGCATTGTAAAAAGTTCCAAAAGTTTTGACAACTTAGCCACACAAGTGTTCCTGATTGCTGACCAGATATCAGTGATTCCAGCCAAAACAACATCCTTGACTAAAGGAAACACTTTGCTATCCACTCCATTATCTGAGCTAGCAAGCTTTAGCCAGTCCATGATATGCACAAATGTCTGATTCCTAACCACTGGCATATTATGAGCTGAAAAGGACAGAAATTAGTAGAAGTACACGTATCCCACCTTTTTTTAACTTTAAAAATCTCACATTTAGGAATACACTGATATCTACAGGAATAGATGGCCTCACAGACTATCTGAAGAGTTAATCATTACATCTTGTCTGGTTGTACAATGTATATTGGGATCATTAGCCATTAAACAGCAGCAACTTCTGAAGAAAATATCTGAATTCTGGCTAACCTTTAGCAACTGCATATTTAAAACTACTCAAAAGATTTTCCGTTAGGTTAACTTGGGCAAGATACCTGTAAAAGAAAACATGCTTCAGTCACAACAGTCAACAAACTACCAAACAGCTCAGCTCTAATTGACCAGCTGGCTTAAACTCTGTCCCACTTTCACAACTTTCATAACTCCATTGAGCAAACAAGCAAGGAACCATGATCCCAAATATAAAATATTGTTAAGATTTCAACACATGCCTTTCCCACCAAAAAAAAAGAAGGCTTTTCTGATGACAAAGAGGATAGAAATGGAAATTTTTTGACCCCTTGGGAAATTGCCAATTCAAATTTTATCAAAACAATCTTTCTCTTTAATAAGATTTGCATCAATTTTTGTTAAAAAATGTAGGGCTGTTAAGTGCACTTTTCAAGAAGACAGGAATCGATCTTGACAACGTAATCTCCGATGAATCAATATTTGAACAAACTTCTCAGTTTACCATCCAGGTGGATGCGTAAAAAACCACACAATTTGCCCGAAATTAACGTAAAAATAGCGAGAAAATTTAACACATTCGGAATTATTCAAATTAAGTGCTAGGGGTTTCACACTGGCGAAAGAGGTGCGATTTTGTGATTCGATCAAGGGAAAGCTTATGTAAAGCGTAAATTGTCTGTCGCAGACTGAGCTGACATGTTCTAGCTACTCAAAAAGGTGATACGATTCTTAATTTGGCAATCACAACTGGATTTGATAACTAACCTATTTCACCTTAAATTATTACATCTAGAAACCTGAGGTTCGTCGGTGTGTTAATAGATTTGATACTACTTCTCGATTTCCCACAGCGACAAATTAAAATCATGAACATACCACTTCAGAAATTCGTCTAGTAACTCATTCAGCTTCGCTTTAAACTTGGATTCATCCTGAATTCGAACAGACCCAGACGATCCCCTACGAACTAAATGCTCATCTGCTTCTGTATGTAGATCGTCTAAGTTCGCTGTAAACTCCGACCAACCAAATCGTCGTTCGAAAAGATAGAAAGTAAACGAATCAAGATCATCTTGAGAAGGTATACAGGTTTCAGGTGTTTTGGCCGGGAAAGGATTCACTATGTTATCTAAACCTGAGCGAAGCCATTCTTTCTCGCAATGATCCTCATCCAAAGACGTTTTATCGCCAGTGGGAAGAAGCGTCTCCCTTAACTGTCCTAAGGCAACGATCTCATCCTCAGCGCAAGAAGCGTTTTGCAGAGCGGAGAGTCTGCGGCCAAAACACCACTCCGGCGAAGAACTTTCGTCGTCAACCATTACTAAATCTTTAGCCAGATTGAAGGCTTGGTTCTCATTATTGATCACCAAGAGAGGTCTGCTGTAACCAGGTGTCCTAATGTACGTGTCACAATTACCTCAACATATAAGCTAACAATCAATTTAGTCAAAACATCAAAATACCGCCATTTTTCGTATCCACCGAACATTTATTTTACCACGTGATCTTATTCATGGCGCCGAATTTTGACGACTATGATTCGGTAACCTCTCGACAATCCTCGTCAAATTCTCGACTTCCTTGAAGAGGCCGTGAGGCCAGCTTAACGGCAGCGAAGATCAAGGTTAGAGATGCACAATTTAAGATATATTTTAATTTGAAATAGAATCTCTGGAGAATTCTAAAACCAAATTAACACAGCTTGTGCTCACAATTCTTTTTTTATGAATTACATTTTAACAATCACGAGCGCGCGTAGGATGAGATGATAGATAGCCAACGAGGCCTGTAAGGTCGATTTGGTTATAATCATATTCAACAAGTGCGAGTGTCTAATTATTTTATTAAAAGCGCCCTATACAGGCAGGAAAAAACACTGCGTTCAAATGCCCAACTCAAGCACAATTTTTTATCGTACAATTCTTTGCGTGACTTATACTAGTTTTTGGTGTCCCCGATGGGTTTTTCGCTTGAATGAGTCATTCTACACATTCTGCGATATGAACATTTTTTCCTTAATCATTTGCTCACGGAAACGGACTCTTTTCCATCAAAACTCCTCTATATTTAATAATCCAGTGGTTCAAATTCTTAACCCCCGGAACACGGACAGCAGTCAAAATGCCCGTGAGTTATCCGGGAATGAGGGCTGAGGGAAAGGGTGGGGTGGG